TCATTGAGTATATGTTTAGACAACCCCTAATCAGGGCCATCTTTACGAATTGTTGGGACCAATTAGATGGATGCTTGCGAGGCCCCTCTTCTATTTGTTTTTATACAATAGCAACTATTACTATTAATTAGATCTTCATATACAAAATCCATAGGAAGCAACTCAAACCCAACAGGCGCTTGTCGGTTAATTTAAAGTTACGTCAATCGTAAGAGAGGCCTACACTAAATATGTTAACCTGACAAGAGTCATGACTGTTAGTGATATGCTTAATGTAAATAGCAAGGCTCCTGCCAGGCACGGAGCCCAATTAGAACAATTGGCAAAATCGGCCTAAGGCCGGCCCTGCCCTTACTTGTTTCCTATATAAATTGTTATACCTGTAATCTTATGTCTATGCATAGATCATTACAGTTTTGAAGTATCAAAATATACAGGCTCTCAAAGCAATCTCATAACAACATTATTGACATTTTTCTTACTTAAATGGAACCAATAATTAAAAACATCATTGGTAGCAACATTTTTGGTGTAAAAGGAAATATGATTTGATGGATAATCAAAGTGGAGTTATTTAAGTTATTAAATATATAAAACAACTTTCCAGAAGATCGCATTCAATAAATATCATTCTTTCTCTACCCTGTTCTCACTTCTTCAACTGTCACACCAGTATAAAACTAGAACTAATGGATTTGATATGAAGATGCTTTAGATCTGACTTGTTTCAGTATTGTTAATTAGTTAATGGTAATGTCTTCCATTCCGAAGATCAAGGATGATTGCAGTGTTTTAAATGACTATTCAAACCTACCTGCTATCGGCATCTCGTGCAAACAAAGCCGTTGTCCTTTGGCGGTCTATTGAATATTTCTTTTCGTTTTCTGCGCCTGTCTTCAATAAGGTTTTCCTTTGGGTCTCAAATGTGTGTCCCGTGGCCCGATGGCTCTCCAATGTCTCTTTTCAGAGGCTATCTACTGCCAGCTACTTTCCTCTATGCCAGTGAGGGCGACATGGCGCTTACGTTGGACAGTTATGCCATTCTCCTCTAACTTCGCTAAGTATTTTGTAACAGTAGACATGATAATCATAATTAGGCTTGTCTTCAAGTCCAGTTTTTTATTTCGATTTTCTTTCCGCCGTCTTCGTCTGACTTCTGCAGTGGATTTTCTTTTGGCCTCAAATGTGTGTATTCCGCGGCCTTTGTAAGTGATCTCCAGCTGTGTCGTTACGATGCCTTCAGCAGCCAGATGCTATCTTTTATGTCAGTTAAATGCATTTTAGCTCCCAAGCTGGTTTTTAAAGCGTTTCCGATCGGGCACCTCTGTTACGGCGACCACCTTTCAGCTCACCAAAAAGGACTGCTTATGGCATACTTTTGTCCCCCTGGATTCTTGCCCTGCCACCAATAGCTCATACTCAGAATATAGCATACGTTTATAAAAATGTAAATTATCTTCAAAATTCAAATTTCCAGGATTCCGAATTTCCGGCTGGCCAAAATGTCTTAAGAGGAAATCGAATCAGTAACATTAAAGGGATAAATCCTATCTATCAGCGTCCCTCTCTTGTCCTTGCCTGTGAGTTTTCCCTTCTAACAGCGTTGTCCGAGATTTGTTTCGGGACGCGGGAAATTTAGAAGTAAATTAACTATCAGTTATCTCCCGACCCCAGACTACAACACATTTAAAATCATTTAATATAATATTGTTCCTTGTTGACAATAGCCATACCTTCACTGGCCCGACGTATGTAGCCATTGTCGCACCTGTGCTTCATGCATTGACTGTTTCCGGGAACCGTGAAAATGCTCCCGTCTTGGAAACGGTATCCATTCGCTATGCATGAACCTGAGATGAAAAAATAGGTCAGTGTCAGGTCATCTCTGTTTTTATGTTTCAAAATAAGGATGATTTGTGTATGTATTAACTGGGTATAAATTTACCACTGGGTGCAGCGTTGATCACAACCCAGAAGACAGAAAGACAGAGTAGGACCGCTAGCTGAAATGGTAATACAAAACAGTTTGAATATTTAGTTGACTTTAAATAATAAAAAGTGCATAATTTATTGCTTTTAGATTCGCATTTCTGGCGGAAAGCTAGGTATTGTTTGGTATTTAGCGTGTACTTAATAATGATAACATAAAAAAAAATATTTTTTCTCTTTTTTTTTCAATGTAAAATTAATTTTTTAAACTAATTAGTATTATTTAGTTGGCAACTGTAATCTTTCAATATGACGTCCTTGACCTGGTTTAGTTCCATAAAGCGTCCTTGACCTTGTTTAGTTTGTCTATTTATTAAATCTGTTCCAATCTTCATCTGCTCATTTTCTTTCCCTTTTCTTTACGTTCTCTTATATCCCCCCCCCCCCCCCGATGTCTCAATATCGCTTTCTCTTCTTATTCTATTTGACTGTATTATACTGCTCAAATAATATATTAAGAATACAAATGTAAACAAAGAGGAATTAGTCTGCTTAAAATTACCCAAATGGGTGTCACCCTGTTCAAACTGCACCACCCGCACCCACTTAGTGACGCCACTGCTCAATACTATTCTATGTTTAAATATTTTTTACTTATGTCAGACATAACATGGAAACCGGAAAAAAAAAGAGACAACAAGACCGTCCTCGTCTAACATAACGTCGAATTGCTCTTGTAGCGGACTTCAAGCCTGTGTGCACCAGCTGGTCAGAGGCTGTTGAAGTGGCCTAAGAGCGATCTCTGTTGAGAGAAGCTCTATGAGCCGAACGACTAGAGAGGATCTAAGTCTAAGTTAGAAGCAAATAGGCCAGCGATATATAAAACTTATAATTAATTCAAGTATTTTTAACCCAAAGATTCACTTGATCACGTTCTCTCAGCTTTATATCCTTAATGACATGTGAAGCTCTGTCGTGTAGTTTTAGGGTTGGATCCGTTTAAAACAGCGAGAGTTATAAAAGAACATGTAGATAAACTTATCATTTTCATTAGATGTTTCAACAGTCAGGAGACCAGTCTAAGCTTACTCTCAAGAATCACATACAATGACATCGTTGGACAGAACATTAGGCCTATATAGGTAGACCCCATCGCAAATTTATGAAATAGCTATAGCATTTTGTCTTTCAGTCTGACTCACGAAGCCGCTAATAGCTGTGATAATAAACTGCTATTAGCATAATGAGTATTCCGTGCATGGTTTGAAGTCGTATACAAATGTTTAGTCAGCAATGTCTTCACCAATTCTACTACATTTAACAAGTAAATGAACAGTAGTAAAGGCCCCCGAAAGTCAATATGACAGCATCGGCTCTGTCTGGCCTGTCTGTCCGTCCCGTTTAGATCATTCAAATTTCTGATGTAACGGCTACTTTTTTTCTTTTCCAAAAGTGAACCACCTAATTTTTAAAATTACATATGCAAGCAGATTTAAAAAAAAAAAATACACCACTTTTAAATGAAAAACTTCTGGCTAGGTAAGTTTTTTAAAAAAGGTCACAGACTTCTTCATTAGTAAGTCAAGCTTCATTTATAGATTTGCGCATTGGTACAAAAAATGTTGCATCTAAGGTCACAATGGCAAAAGTGTGAACGGATCATTATAAAATATATTTTTCATTTATTAACTAACTCATTGAATGGAATACTGATTCAAAGACAAAGAAAATAAATTAATTCTTCTTTATTTACCTATATGGCTAAATATGCAGGGTTTGATCCCTTGTGTAGTTGTTCACATTATTTCTCCCACACCCATTCTCGGATCAAGTTGAAATTTGAAACAAAATTATTTATTGTACCCAAGAAAGCATGAATCAATTAACAAATTAACCAATTAGTCAATAATTTTTGGTAATTAATTATTGTGTTTGTTAATGAATAAGGGAAATAGCTCCTATCGAGAGATATAGTTATAAACGCAAGAGTTCTACCCATTACATAAGTTTTTTTCAATAATTCTTTTTTATATTTTGCTTTTTTAATGTTAAAACTCTTGAAGCTGTGTAAGTGAGGTTTGATGTCAATAATCGCATCGGTAGCTCTTATGATTTTATTAAATTAATTTTGAATTCTTCGGATGACCAAACAGGCAGGTTTGTTGAAAAGTTTCAGTCTTTGTAAGTGTGTATGTTTGTTGTTTTATGTCCAAGAACTGTTCACTCTGGAAGATACCTACTCACACACATATGTACATGTTTAATAACATTTATTCTTATTTGCCATAGCGATGATAAATTAGCGTTTATTGGCCTAATTAAGTCACAGGCTGACTCGACCGTTGCTTGGCATCCAGGGCATTACCAACAGGCTCATGAGTATTAGATTTCTAATGATTGCATCTTTTTAAAATGTTCTTCCCTATGCTTTGTTTGTTAATGTTATTTTACTCTTGACGCATAAATATTTTTTTTTCGACTCCAATGTTAAAGATACGTGATAAACGTCGGGTTATGAGTGGTTCTCAACTTGTCTTAGAGATGTAGCCTACTGCGTAGCTGAACAGAAGTTCTTTTAACAGGAAGATAATTACGTCCTACACATATTCAATCGCGGTGGTTGACCAATAAAGCTTTTGGCCTTCGAACCGGAGGTTCCGGGTTCGAATCCTTGGTGAAGACTGGGATTTTTAATTTTGGGATCTTTGGGAGCTTCTATGTCCACTCAGCTCTATTGGGTACCTGGCATTAGTTGGGGAAAAGTAAAGGCGGTTGGTCGTTGTGCTGGCCACATGACATCCTCGTTAATCGTAGGCCTCAGAAACAGATGACCTTTACATCATCTGCCCTATAGACCACTAGGTCTGAAAAGAGAACTTTACTTTTTTATATCCATGTGCTAGTCGTGCATGTTAATTAAAGACTTAAGCTTTGCAAGTCATTGGTTTTACTGGCTGATTCAGGCAACCCGTTCCATGCTCTAATGGCACTAGGGGTGAAGAAGCACTTGCAATGTAACCATGCAAGTCGGATTTTTAAAAAATAACTATCAACAACAATATTTTTTTTTATAGTATAAGATAATTTTGCGAACATTTTGATTATGTTGTGTTTCAGTTGCTTGTATTGCTTACACGTGTGTTTTACATTGATTACACATTTTGCTGATTACATTGTTAAGTTTAAAGCATCTTTTTTTTTATTGTCACAGCTTGGTTGTAGGAATCCACAAAAATCATCCACCACGATAACAACAAAATAGATAGTGCTTGTTTTATCCAGGGTTCGTTTTATCCATAGTTCGTTTTATCCAGGGTTCGTTTTATCCAGGGTTCGTTTTATCCAGGGGTTTTGTTTTATCTAAAGTTACAGTTATATTTTTTTGAAGGTGATACGAAGCTCTATATCCTCGAAAGACTGCGGGCAGCATGGATAAGTCTTCTTGTTGACTTTCTGCTTGGCTTCTATCAGCTGAAACCTTTCCCCGCCAGCATAGGTGGTCAAGTCTATCTGCTGGCTCTCGTCCAGGACCAAATCACGAACGTCGTACGTCCAAGGCCCAAACTTTAATGTGCAAGCGGCGCCCTGTTCTGTGGTGACATTTTCTAAGGCGCAGAAGAAACGTACGGTGTACTGCGGGACGAAGGTGACAGTACCATCTTTGTAAACTCTGACGAGTTGGTCTGAGTGGATCCCGGGTTTGCCAATAGAGTTGTAGACCTCAATGTGGGGTAACCAGATGTATTTTGATGGCAAAGTCAACTTAAAAAAAAAGATGAACCTGTATCAGTCAAATATACCAAAGGAAAAAAACAAACAATAGAAAAATAAATACTTAATTTAAACCAAAACTTATTTAAGGGAGAATAACCACTACTGCCATTTATCTGAAAATTACAGGGTTAGCTCCCTTTCTCTCTCTCACACACACACACACACACACACTCTCTCTCTCTCTCTCTCTCTCTCTCTATATATATATATATATATATATAGATAGATAGATAGATAGATAGATAGATAGATAGATAGATAGATATAACAAAATTAATTAATTTGTTCTAAATGATTTTTTTAAAAACTGGTTTATAATTGGATTGATTCGTGTGCATTGTTATCGACAATGAATAATTATGCAAAATTTGAAATTGATCCGAGAATGGAAAGTGGGAGAAAAAACGTGTCAAAACGTAATAGGGGGACTAAATCCATATATATATACATATGTATATATATATACACACACATCTATCATTAAGTAGCATTTATTCTCCTTATTTCGATGTCAAACAAATCACAAGCAATTAATTAACTAGACCTCTAATTGTTAAATTTATTTTTATTAATATCCTGTCATGTTCAATGAATAATTGTACAAAGTTTTAACTTGATCCGAGAATGGGAAATGGGAGGAAAAAACATGTTCAAACTTTTGACCATACTGACAGATAGAGTGACTTAATGTGAGCTTTGAAAAAGATAATGATAAGTCTGTTAATAAAGATATATAAGTAAATTTTATTGTATTTGATTTTTGAAATGCAACTTATCATGGCGTTTATTTTGCTAAACTCTGCCTCTACGTTTGTCAGAAAACTAAAATTTTTATAATGTTTTTTTTTTTTTAGTGGCTAAAATTTAAAAAATTTAAGAGTAAAACTTAAATAAAAAGATTAGAAGAATAAACTACGAGGCACAAATCGAGTAAGTTTATAAACTGCTTAAACTGTGATTGCATTTTTCTTTCTTATTGTGACAATTTATTGTGTTTTGTGTCTTTTAAATAATAGTCTACTGCAGGGAACTAGTTTTGTAAGGATTCACTTCGGTAAAGAGACTTAATTCTATGGAAATTATATGGCCAGTGTTTGACGAGGATATAGATTGGCCATTACTTAATAAAGAGTCTGAACTTTTCTGTCTTTGTTTCGAGTGTGCACTTTGTCTTGTTAAAATAGAGTTAAAGTAAAGTTTCCCCTTTCAGACCTTGCGATCTATGATGTTAAGGTCATCTGTTTTTAAAGCCAACGGTGAACGAGCAGGGTTTTATGTGCCCAGCACAACGACCAACCCCTTTTACTTTCCCCAACTAATTAGAGTTGGGTGAACTCAGGGGCGCCTTAAAAATCCCGAAATTCAAAATCCAAGTCTTCACCGAGATTCAAACTCAGGACCCCAGGATAGGAAGCCATGCGCTTAATCACTCAACCCCTGTGCGCCAAATGTTAAAATAGAACATAGACAAAAAAGCTATTGCCTAATTCGCCTGAGAAAGACAGTATGCCTAGACATTATATATAATGCAGGATTTCAGTAACATATACGGTCATTAATTATTTTTCCCATATCTGTTGTAGATCTAGTGGCTCCAAATGGAGGCTTCAATCTTTCCCAATCTTTGTCTTCGTACGTAAAGCAACTAAGTTTAAAGTTGAATGAAATATCAACTATATCAACTAACCTCATTGAAGGTGGTGCACTCGTTGGACCAGCTTAGAGATCTGTCCTTCCAGCTAATCACCAACCACAGGCCAAGCTCGACTTGATCAGTTCCCACATCTGCTGTGTAAATGTCTTGCAGGGAATATTTGAAACTCACTTTGACAGGCTGCTCTTCAACAATGGGAATGTTGTTAGGGTTAGCTCTGCCTAGAATCTCTTTCACTATTTCCTCCCTGCTCTTTTTGGTGCCATGAGAGCCTGTGAAAGAAGAGTGTTTCGTGTTGAAATAAACATTTGGTCTAAAACATTTGGACAGCAAACAACGTTAGTAAAGTAGACTCAGGCATTGCTTCTCAGCCTTAGCGGGGCGCTCTGGTGGGAACGTTGGCTGTGCGCTATGTAAATGGCACGACCATTCCGGATCATCATCATCATTATCAAACTCCATTAGAGTGAGGGCTTGAGAGGTTCAAATCCTCTCTTGCAAAAGCTCTGGACAGAAACCCTGCTGTATTGCGTAGTGCATACATGTCAGCATACAGGTCGACAATTCGTGGTTTCCCAGACCCGTCGAGACGGAGATCGGCAAGTCTGGGGCTGTCAAAAAGATTATGAGACACGGTTTTCTCAGCGGGAGGCACCGTGAGTCAAAATTTGACCCTAGCCGTGAGAAATATGAGCCAACAGGACATTGGCTTGTGCTGCACTGTGACTGTGCTATAATAGCTTGCTCAGGCCTGGATAGCCTCAACCACGGGGAATTGCGGTCAGGGCGCCTCATTTGCTCCCAGACTCCATGGGCTTTTTGGGACATGTCCCATCACTTTAACCAATTTTCCATTTCTTTTTTTTCGAGCATGCTCTGGCCAGTCCTGATAGCTTTATGGTCGATGGTATTGTTGATCTCAGATAGGGCATGGAGTGAAGACCTCTAGCTCCACGCCTACCGGAAGAATTCCTTTCCGATGGAAAATCGGGATAATTTCGCCTTTTGGCTCCGATTTCCTACTGCCATACATTAAATTCATTACAGTCATTAGATGAGGCGACCAGTAGGGAAGTAAAAAATAAACCCGAAGAGGTGCTTAAGGATAGAGTTCATTGCCATGGCGGGAATGAGAAGCAAGTATCCCTGGTTTGCACTCCCGTTGGCCTCACTTCTAACCCAAGGGCCCTGGGATACGAGCCATCGGTAATAGGGATGTAAAGATTGCTTGGATCTTTCCTAGACAGGCAGATGGAGGGAAGTGCCCATAAGCCTAAAATTCCAAGAGTTTTTTTTTAGACTAAATTCTCAGGGCAATTGTAAAGTAAAAAAGATGAATCTGCTATGTGCGTGTGTATTCCGAACAGTTTGTGAGGCTATAATCGATTTTACTTTACAAATTAGCCATAGTATTCTCCACGCGCACACGACGAGACTATTATGTTTATTAACTCTTTTTATTTCCAAGTTCATTAAACTTATTTTTGGTGTTATGTCGTTGGAATTATGTGTTTTCCAAGAAATTCAAAATGATTTATAAATGTGCACTATATCTAGTTTAATTAAGAATGAAAGCCCTTTGCGTCACTGACGTTGTTGTATTTTGACCCTATGGTTTAGAAGATGAGCACCATCTCATGTTCAATCCACTTAAATATAATCACAAGCGTATGTTCTATACATAACAAGATAAGAACAATATCTCTTTATTTTTTTTTTAGTATTTGTTGATGCACGCAATCATAAGTCTAAAGGTCAATTTTGTGGAACTTAATAACAATTTCTATGTACATGAAGCATAGCTGCCTGGTCGTGCAATTATCGCGCTGGACTGTCGTTCGGACTTATCGATGGCCCGGGATCAAACCCAGCCCACTCGCATCCCCCCGTAGTCTTGCGGGAGGTTTCGACTAGGAAGTAAATTATCTTCAACTCTGAAGGAACATCCGAAACCTATAAAACATGGAGATAAAATAATCTCGTTTTCATTGTATAGAAAAAATTATCCTAAAGACTGTGGAGCTCATATCAAGACATTGGATCAAGTAGGTTGAGGCTTGAGCTCAGGAAACATTGTTGCCTGAAAGTAGACGTACTTTCCATTGTTTACCTTTCACATACAGATAAAATTAGAACTACAAAAAGCTGACAAGAAAATTATCAAAATATTGGTTCTATTTTGTGTAACAATTTACTAAACCATTATGGCGAAATAATATAAAGTGACTGGTCAAACTTATGTAGATGATTGAGTTTGCCGGATTGAAGAATCCCTACATTTCACCATACATAAAAAATAGTACAAACCTAATTTTAGAAAATTTCAGTTCTGAAAGCAATACTTATAAGGCTTGTCTTCGAGTTCGAAGATTAATGAGGAATGCAGTATTTGCATTGGCTACGCAGCCCCAGCTGTGACCTACATATTTTGCCACATCCAGCGCAGTCATAACCATTGTTCGCCGGTGGCCGATTTAGATTTTCTTGTCACAGTCTACGTCTGTCCTCAGCAGCGGATATTGTACAAGAAAATTCCTTTTCAGAGTATTTCAGTGCTTGTGATCTATAGGGTATACGATATAAATGTCATCTGTTTCTTTGGCCTACTTTTAACGAGGGTGTCGTGGCCAGCGCAACGACCAACCGCATTTACTCGGGTACCCATTAGAGTTGGGTGGACTTAAATGCGTCCTAAAAATCAGAAATTCAAATTTCTAGTTTTCCCCTAGATTTGAACCCGAAACCCCTCTGTCCGGAAGCCAAGCTCTACTACTTGTTCTACAGGCCCTCAAATAATATTTTGCTTGTTCACATTTCATTGGTGAGAATTAAGAAAAACTTTGATAAAAATGGAAAATGTTGTTTTT